AATGTTGCCAAGAATAATAATAAAATAGGTCGTCAAAGATCGTGAAGACTGTTTGCTCTATCAGATAATGATATAATTATAGTTACCGCTAGAACTCGGTAGCTTTTTTTTATTTAGCAATGATATTTTCCCAATACTCGTCATATATCATATCGTAAGAATGTAACATCACCAATTCCCATTACCCGATTATTTACACAAGTCTCTACGAACATATTTTTTATAATGACGGTGATTCCATGACTTCACAGCTATTGTTTTCGCTGATTAAGAATGGGTGTAAATAAGTCATTTTATTCGACTAATAGGATAGTTCTGATATTTTTGTTTCGATGTACAGCTTCAGCTTGTTTGGATTTACAACGGAATGTAAAACATTTGAAATGAAAATATTTCTTTTCACTAAAATCTAAGAAACTCAAATTTAATTCTAATTGATTAATGACATGATTTATTCGCTCAATTTCTAATTGATTGCGGAGGAAATAATTTACGATGGCCATGAGAATTGTTTGTTTGTTTTTAATTATGCACAAAGCTACACAAGGGCTATCTGTGCTCTGCCCACCACGGGTATCGAAACCCGGTTTCTAGCGTTGTAAGTCCGCAGACATAACCGCTGTGTCCCTGGGGGGCAGTGACACAAAAACTAAAACAATGAAATAGAAAAAATAAAGTCATTCATAAGTATGGTTTTTATTACTTATAAATATTTAAAGGAAGTTGTTTTTTTCTTAGTGCAAATCTATTCTCATTCTTTCTTCTCCGCGGGGGGAATCCAACCCCGGATTTTTGCATTGTAAGTCCATAAATTTACCACTGACCGGCTGTGGGACACTCTAATCAAGTTTTTGAACTCGTGCGCATAAAAAAAAATAACAGAAACCTACAGACCGAAGATACCGTTTTGAAACTTTTAAGATGATTTTAAAATTCATCACTTGTAAATTGTTACCACTCGAAATATCCATTAGATCTTAAGCTCAATCTAGAAATTCATGATTATACAGTTTTTCTTTTTTTAACTATGTTAATTCAGAGATAAGGTTACGTAGTTAATCTTGTTTGTAAAGCCAATAACTTTTAGTTATAGGGAGCATGCTGACGTGATGAGTGAAATGTTGGGAAGAGCTAAATCAGGTAAGGCGTATCTCTTGGGATGTGACTGTCTGTTTAAACGAGATAATTTCTACTTATCGTCTTATCAAACTAAGCAGTGTTTCATGTTACCCCAACTTTTTCTTAAATTTCAACTTGCGAGATAAGTTAGCAGTTTCCAATTTTAATTTACGTGAAACCGAACTTTAACGACTACTGACTTGAGCTAACAATCGCTTGATCCTCTACAGATAAAACGACCGAACGTTGTAGTTGTAACAAAGTTAGTAACTAGAATAATATGAGTTTGGTTTCATTTACCACTAAAGTAACGTAAAATAAAACACAACAAGTAATATAAATCAGGATTTGATAATATATGTTATATATTAATCTCAAAACACATTCTAATTTTGTGGTGTGGGTATAAATAGCCTTTTAGCAATTATTGATATCTTAATTTGCAGAGCTAGTGTTGTAAATCAGGCTCTAAAACAAACTTACTTAGCCTAAGTCTTTCGGTTTCGTGTGTCGACAAAATGTTAATAGGTCATGTGTCACATTGGGGATTAGAGCAAATTTTTTGTTGCCCAGAATTCTCTCTATTGAT